CGGACTAGATGATCTGCCCAGGTCCCTTCCGACCCTAGAAACTATGAAACTATGAAATTAAAACTGCTCCTAAAGTTGTTAGTTACAGTTCATAACTACACAAGTTAAAAAAAAGAAGAAAAAAAGAAGAAAAATCCTGTGTTTTGGTCATGACTAGAGAGAAAATCCTCTTTAGTAACTGTATAGAGTGGATCAGAGGCATAACTGGCCAGTACTGCACCCTCCCTGCAATCCTGCACATTCCCAGTTCTGGCAGAGAAGTGGCAGTGGAACAGGGGCAGCTGGGTGACACTGCTGGTGAAAGAGATGTCACTCTCCCTTTTTTTCTTTTTGGCTATTGATGGGTGTCTAGTAGCCAAAAAAGTCTTTTTAGCAGCAAAAAAAAGTGCCACTTCCCCACCAGCAGCAGCGAATCCGTAACTGCTTCTGCAGCTTGTGCCACTGATATACCTCTTCTCTCTCTGCTGTCAGAGCCAGATGTGCTGCAGGGAAGGTCATGAGGTTGGGGGATGGAATAGGAGACAGAAGGGTGAGCTTCTTCTCCCCCAGACTGTACCCAGGGCTTGTGAGCTGGAATGAATGTTTTAGACTGTGCTGTTACAGGTTTGGTATCTGGGTAAAATTAACATAACACGAAACCCTGATGATGCCTGATATCCTTTGGGTAAGATGTTCAGATCCTTGTGCTTTTAGAAACTTTTAACCTTGCATTTAATTTACTAATATATTTTGGGATGCCTGCCAAGAACTGGCACATAATTTTACTCAAGAGGGCTCATTGGCAGTTCTCAAGTTGGCTGTTTCTCATTCTGGATCACTATTCCACAAAGGAAACTTGTAAAATATATGCAGCTCTAAGACTCCTTATGAAGCTTATGTGCCTAGTTCAATGTGATTTGTCTTGAGCCCATTTCATTCTGAACACTTGCAGCAGTCTAATCTGCCTGGTCTCAAATGGCAAAAATACCAAGATAAAGTAGACAGGTAAAAAGCAAATGTCCCCTTATAAAAATCTCTGTGCTGTTTAAAATCATGACTCTCTCTTGAAAAGATAAAAGAATTTTCTTGGCTCAGATCATTCTTTCATGTGTAGTTAATGTCATAATTTTCAAAGGAATTGGTCTGTTAGACACCTAAACTTCATAGTGCATGTTAAGTTTTCCCTCCTTTCCATGCGTGTTTGCTCTTATACCAGTTTTCCTTTCAGTGTGACTCATAATGTTCAAAACATGCATATTTCCTCCTTCCCTACAGCAACAGCCAGAGTCTGAGACTGTTCATCTGTTCATCCCAGCCTTGGCAGTAGGAGCCATTATCGGCAAGCAGGGACAGCACATCAAACAGCTCTCTCGTTTTGCAGGTGCATCTATTAAGGTACAGTTTAACTGCCTAACTTTCCGTCTCTTCTGTGTGATGCTCAGAGCAAGTACTCACAAGCAAGCCATGTTCTTGTAAACGTGCTCCTCCACCCTCAACAACTCAGTACCTCAAGGATGATGTGGTAAATGGTATATGCATGTAAAAATTCACCTTTTAATTCTCCTTGAGAGACAAGATAATTAGATGTGTGTTTGCAGAAGTCTCTTGAAGTGTGAAATATGAGAGGAAAAGAAAGCTACCTTGGTGGTCTCAACTTAGAAAAATGCCTTTTAGTAAGGTCCTAATGTTACTAAAGGCTTTCTTGACATATTAAGGCAAACAAAATCCAGTATCTCCAAATTTGCATGCTAATAAACACACAGGGTAGGTCTTGAACTTGAACTATATTGTTCTGCCTAGTGTTGCTCCAAAAGGATCATATAAGATACTAAACTCTTCTGACTCTGCTCTAAGATACTGTTGGAAAAGTAAGTGTTGTCTATGCTAGGTTGCCATACAGGACCATTTTCTTCTCACCAGGTTTAATGGATTTTGTACTAGTTCGAGCTAATACAAGGATAAACGTTAAATTCAGTTGATGCAGTCTCTGATTCTTCTTTGGCTACACTTCCGTAGCAGTGCAGATGCCAACTCTTAGTGACTGCCTGGACCTGCTTTCTCCATTCTGTTCAAGTGTAAGAAAAGTGTTGGGCTCCCACTAACGTTACCTTAGTTGAGGATGTTTTGGCAGAATTCCCTCATGTGGACACAGTCTCTAGATCGGGGTGGGCGATTATTTTGGGCGTAGGGCCACTTACTGAGTTTTGGCAAGCCATCAAGGGTCACGTGACAGGCAGCCAGGGGCAGATAAGTATTAATTTTCTACATTTTTTATGGGTCTCTCATGGGCTGGATAGAATGGCCCGGTGGGCTACATCTTGGAAAGTCCTTGACTTCAGGAAAGCCGACTTTGACAAGCTCAGGAGGCTTGTCAGTGAGGCCCTAAGGGACCATGACCCCAGGGAGAGGGGAGTTCAAGAAGAGCGGTTGCTCCTCAAGGGAGCAATCCTCAATGCACAAGCTATGTCTATTTCATCTCGGAGGAAAGGCAGCAAGAGGGCACAGCAGGCCCTGGCTCTCCAGGGACCTAGCAGACCTCCTGAGGCTAAAAAGAAAGGCCTACAAAGGATGGAGGATGGGATTCACCTCCAAGGAGGATTATTCTGCACTGGTCTGGTCCTGCAGGGAGCAAACCAGGAAAGCCAAGGCTGC